ACATTGGAGGTGGTGGAGGGGGGTCCCCGTTACCTGTAAAGTGCTTTGAGTGGAGAGTCCAGAAAAGGGCTATAAGCAATTATTATTATTAATTATTTATTTTGGCGTAGGCTGCTTGGGTGTTATCAGAATATAAGCTTCACTTTAAATTTACAGGCAGTTGCAGTGGCTTAAGAGAAAAGAAAAAAAAAGATCAGTCCATTGTTATGTTGTTAGAACGGTTAATTGCATCTCATCAGTTTCGTGTGCAGTGAACTGTTCAGGTTTCAGACAGAAAAACTGCTTTAGACTCAAATTAAGTACTCGACCCAACAGGGAAGAAAGCAAAATCCTTTAAAAAGACTTTAAAATCATTAAAACCCAATAAACTGTTGGGTTCTAAATTAAAAGCTGGAAAGGCATGACAGGCATTTAACACATTCACTGTTTTTTCCTGACAATTGCTGTACAGTTTTTAAGGTTATTAACATTCTTAGAAAAAGTGCCAGTAGCAGTAGAGACAGCCTATGCTCTATGGTGTCTGTTCCCAATGCTGACCATTTATTGTCAACAGTGGGATATGATTCTGGCGATGCCTGTAGATGATTTAATCAAAGGGACTATTGATTTGATCTGGTTGCCTGCACTGCAATGATTAAATACAGTTTCTGCATTTATAATCCACAGTCAGATTGCATGAAAAGCTTCATGGCACACATTTTGCAGTTCTCATTAAAGCACATGCAGTGGACAGGGGACACCATGAAATTGTTTCTGTAAGTGAAATTCACTAATAATCATTTTAACCTTGTTCTGTTGGCTGATAATTCAACCATAGAGAGCCATTCTCTGCATTCTGTTAGATTGGGCTTTAATTTCATGCAAGCATTCCCATGCCATTAGCAAGTTTTTCTGTGATAGTGGTGTTAATCAGTACGTAGTTCCATGGTTCCTTGCAGAGAGTCTAGCTGATAGCTCGTGGGGCTGGAGTGACCTACTCCACAACCAGAATGCCCTGTCGTTTCCAGACGGGAGATATGGGCATGTTCCAGATGGAAGAACTCCTTGTTTTCCCGGTAACCTCAGGATGCTGCCCCCTGTGGGAGGAGAGGAGAGATATTTGCACCAGAATACCTCTTGACTCTAGATACGGTGCCCTCCAAATTAATTCACATCCCTGGTGAAATAGGAGCACTAAATATCTGATAATTTATAGCGTTGAACAGAGCAAAGATACATTTGTCAGAAATAATTGAAGACCAAAAAACATCATATTTAAAACATCTCTGTAATTGGTAGCTTTCAAACCCTCTTCAGGCAGGGATTACACTGTCTACATGGCTCCTGTAGTGTAGTGTAGTGTACTGTAAGGTTCTGGAACTGCAAAGGAACATTTTCTTGCATGAAGAATTGCTGAAAGTCTTTGTTTTTTAGTGAACATTCATCTAATGTTAGAATCAAAGATTTAATTAATATGTATAATATTTATGAAGTCTGTAGATTGAGATGGCCAGTCGCGAACACTTAGATAAAGAAAAAAATAACATCAGATCTTTCCTTACATCCATATAGACTATTTTGTTTTATGCTTTGAATCATTGTCATGGTTGAATGTCAATTTTCAGCCAATCTTAAGCTTCTCCACAGAAATGTTTTCTGATCATAACAAGGGCTCCAGGAGTTCTAGAGTCAACCAAGCCCCCAAATTACATAGTCATTGTAGAATAGTGATTCACATGGTCCAATAATCTCTCTCCAGGCTCCCTGGTCTATCTACAAATATTCACTTGCTGCTTCCTCACCTGTATCCCACATTCTGAAATAGTTTCTACTTTATAGCTCTCATAATGTGCAGAGCATGACCACTTTCCCCCCCAGTAGAGCCTGAATTGACTCGTGGGTGCCAGTCACTGATGATATCCGTTTTTCAAAGGACCCCTCTTCCCTCTACAGATGAACATTCTCTAAAGAAGGTTTATGCATGCCCTTTGCTACGTATGCTAGACCGGCCATGTTGATAGAAATATTCCTTGTCTTTGCACAGCAAATCTTCCCGGAACACTGTTGTAAACATTATATACAGTATGAGATGACCCTGCAGACCCTGGTGTTTTGATGGTGTGTATCTGGGATTGTCCACACATTGTTACTATACGTAGCAGAATGAGC